AAACGCCTAAATGGTGCTTTGTCTAGGGAAAGGCTTTAAAGGGCATTTTCCCCTGGTACGTTTATAATACATTTCATATTTACCTACAGAAAATACGGTGGATGTGATAATAATTATACAAGACAACCCACAGACAATAATGAAAGTTAAGAATTAAGATACATTCTGATAGACTTTTACAGCATATTGACATAAAGGCAGTTTTGGTTTTGACATACGTACACCAAAATGATATTTGTAATGCTATTTAAACACAAGTATACAAGGCACCAGTGTATTCTGGCAAAAATAATATAATTATCTACAGTTAATGAAAGGCTTGTGCTTTGAGCTACTAACAAAATGTTAATATGTAGAGAAACTTGTGATTCATGATGTTATGGTTTTCAACCAATGTTATCAAATCAGCTAAAAATATCAGAAGAGGACAAAGAAAGTATGTTAAACATGGATAAAAGCAGAAACTGAGAAAAGATAGCTTTGATATTTAAAGTGTTAGATTATGGCCTCTATATAATGTCACATATGCTGGACTGCCCCCCCCAAAAAAAAATCACACCCTCAAATTATGATCTTAATTATTCAAAGGATGTTTGGCGTGTTGGTGGTATAGTGGTGAGCGTAGTTGCCTTCCAGAAGATGGTTGGTGTATAATTACTAGAGAATTTCTTGCTTTCTTGGGAGGTGGCTTAGTAAAAGGTTGAGTCAGACATACTGAGGCTGTTTATTCAGTGTGCTATGCTGTGCTGTGTCCGAATGCCTGGGAGTTAAGAGTTGTTAACCTTTCCAGGGTGCTAGATCCCTTTGAGATTATGATGGAAGCCATGAATCCTTTTCCCACACCTGTATGCAAACATTTGCCTGCCCATTTACAGACCCAAAGAAGCACATCCATGTACCCCACGTGAAGAAGGCTGCCCTGGACTAAGCCCTCACTGTGACTCTGCTGTTCTTAAGCTTCCCAGGAAACACTGTTATTTAAAAAGACGAGCCATCCAGGTCAAAAAGAAGTCACTGTGGTTGCTAGGTGGGGGTGCAAAGCCAAAGACAAAGGGTGGGGAAAATACATGACTAATAATAAATAAAGAGCATGGTTAATACCAGAGCCTCCAAACTGATAGCCCAGAATCCCTCAACATTTAGCCACGAGTATTTGTAAAGTACGTTGTGAATTCAGGTGGAGGGCTGAAGACTCAACATTAAGCAGTTGGGCAGAGTTTTCATATGTATATTTGTCTATGCCTTTTGCACAATATAAAACTAGGAAATCTCTTTTCATTTTTCTATTGTGCACACTACCACATTAGGTAGGACTCAAAATCATCTCAACTCCAGGAGTATAATTCGTAACAATTATAACAAAGCATAAAAATGATTCTACATTAGCAGAAGAAATGTAGTAGGGATAGATTTAAAATAGCATGGTTGAGTACAAAAGAAACATCATTTTTTTTAAAAAAAATGCAGCCTTTATCACTCATCAGCTAAACTTAAGTCAATGCTGTGAGGCTGTTGTGGGAAAAAAATAGTCATGATTCTTGGGTATTTTAAAAGGAGCATGACAGAGAAGGGTAAGAAAACAAGAGTTAGTGTTCGTCAGATTCATCATTGTGTCCTGTTTGAGTCACACTTGAAAAAAGATTTTGGACAATTGTGAAAAGCTGATACACAAGCAACAGAAATTACACGCCCTTCCAGGAAAAGATAAGGCAACCGAGAGTTTTATTCCACACAAGGCTAGAGGATTTCTTGCTAATGGCCTTTAAGTAGTAACAGTCTGGTTTATCCTTATATTCCTGGGGCCTTCCACACTGTCTGGTGCTCAGTACTTGAGATGATTGTTGTGTTTAGTGATATGAGTAACGTTCCTGTGATAGACTTAGCAGGAATAAGTAAGTTCAAATAAAACCAGCGATAGTGTCATGACAGACAACATGTAATACATGAATTTGCTGGGTGATTAATACACAAGGATGACTGTCTCACTTGTGAGGATGATAAAATGCTTCAGCAGCTAACTGGGGGAAGCTACAAAATCTTGGTTTGATACCTCTTTCAGGATGAAAGCAGATTAAGTCTCCTGGGGTGGTGGAAACATGTATTCATTCATTCTACAAACCCTGAAGGCCTGCTTGGCTAGGTGCTCACGGTCTGGTAGAGGAGACAAAGATACAGAAACAGAGTCACAGTGTGTGATGAGTGCCATGGGAGCATAAAAACAGCATGTGCAGGGCTTGTGACACTCAACCTCCACCCTGCACAGCTTCCAGTGGAGGCAAAGTCACAATTGACTCAATGGACAGGCTTGGCCGAGTTAGCTGGATGGGAGGCAGGTGGGACAGCCTGGCCAGAGGCCCAGACCGGTGTGTGTGGGGAAGGGGTGATGGGAGATGCAGACTCGGCAGTGCTTGGAACAGGTCTGAATGCTGCGCCTTGCTAGCCTGAAGATTTCCACCCAGAAGCCTGACAAAGTCAGATGTGCGCTTCAGAAAGGCCAGGCGGGCTGCAGTGAAGAGAGTGACTTGAGGGGGTGGGGGACAGGCCATCAAGGCAAGGGGACCAAATGGAAAGCTTTGGTCAGGACACACATGGTAATGGATTTGGGGGAGAAATGGGGGAGGGTGATGCAGGCAGAGTGGCCAGTGTTATCAAGTGGCACCATTCACCACAAAATGCAGTCCAAGAGGAAGCCCAGGTGTGAGGGGGGACAGGTGGCATTCAGACATGTCAGTACACAGAGACAGAGTCAGTGGCAGAGACAGAGCCAATGGGGAGTTGGGCCATGTGGATAAGGACTTGAGTGAAGACCTATCTCCAAAGCAGGGGATCACGCTTCTAATTTTTTATATGGTGTTTTTCATTTTATTCTTACTCATTTGTAATAAAACCTCTTTTTTTATTGTATATATTTAAAGTGTCAACCTGCTGGTTTGATACAACATGTGCATAGCAAAATAATAACTTACACTCAAGCTATGAGTGTACCATCTCACAGTTACCTTTTTGTGCCTGGGTAAGCCCACCTAAAATGTACTTAGAAATATTCAGTATCTTCTCTGTCAGGGTCCTCATGCTGTACTGCAGATGTATTCATCTGACATCATTCCAGCTTTATACCCTTTGACCCACATCTCCCCATCCCCCCCAACCACCACTGTGTTTCTATGGACTGTATTTGACTATTTTAGATTCCACATATTACCTCTAATCCTCAAAGCTCTATTAGGGTTTTGTATGTTTCCTTCCAGCACTTCCCTACAAACACACAATTTGCAGAATCAGCATAATTCTGTATAGGTTCATTCATTCATTCATTCATTCATGTATTTATGAGATGGAGTTTCACTCTTGTTGCCCAAACTGGAGTGCAATGGCGCAATCTTGGCTCACTGCAACCTCTGCCTCCTGGGTTCAAGCGATTCTCCTGCTTCAGCCTCCCAATTAGCTGGGATTACAGGCACGCGCCACCACACCAGTTAATTTTGATTTTCAGTAGAGACGGTTTCACCCTGTTGGTCAGGCTGGTCTCGAACTCCTGACCTCAGGTGATCCTCCCACTTCAGCCTCCCAAAGTGCTGGGATTACAGGTGTAAGACACCATGCCCAGCCTGTATAGACACTTTCAATCCCACTTTTAAAACAGGCATGTTCTCCCTATGCTTTAAAATGCCTCTAAAATATTTCTAATGGTGCTAATTCTCTAATTTGGGAGTGTCTAATTTGCTTCCAGTTTTTAAAAACTATTTTTATATTACAGTAATTAACCTTTTAATACATGAATCTTGGGCATATTTTTAATGATTTCCTTAGGAGAGATTCCTTACAGTGAATTTCTTGGGTAAAAGGAGGTTAAGTGTAAGATTCTTGATATACCTTGCTAAGTTGTTTTCTAGAAAGCTTGAACCAAGTTCTACACATTTTAGCAATGTATGAAATGTCCTTCTCTCCATATCTTCATCAGCATTGAGTGTTCTCTCTTTTTTATCTTTAGACAAAAAGGTTACATTCTTTTTGGTTCATCTACTCAGAAGCTATTTAATGAATGTTCACTCCATGTCAGGCATGTGGCATGTTTTCATCTCCACCAATAACACTGAACTTTCTTCATGTGTGTATCAGCCTGCTGTTTTCTTTTGTAAATGTTCTGTTCATGTCCATTATCAACTTTTCTATTAGGGTGTGACTGTTTCTATGATATATTTATAAAGGGGTGTGTGTGTGTGTGTGTGTGTGTGTGTGTGTGTGTAAGATATTTGAGGCAAATATTTTTCCCAGCTGCTTTGATTTTTAATTTTGCTTATACTTTATTGGAAATACAGAATCTTTATTATTATTATTATTACAATACTGTAAGTTCTGGGATACATGTGCAGAACGTGCAGGTTTGTTACATAGGTATACACGTGCCATGATGGTTTGCTGCAGCCATCAACCCATCATCTACATTAGATATTTCTCCTAATACTATCTCTCCCATAGCCCCTCACCCACTGACAGGCCCTTGTGTGTGATGTTCCCCTCCCTGTGTCCATGTGTTCCCATGAGAACCTTTATATTTTATGTAGTGGAGTAAATGATTTTATTTTTTTCCCGTATAACTTCTGTTACCTCAGGCTTAGGAATTCCTTCCTACCCAGAAGTTAGAAAATATTCATCTAATTAAAAAAATAATAATTTCATTTTTAACATTAAACTCACCAAATTAGACGTAAGATGTGGCCAGGCCCAGTGGCTCACACCTGTAGTCTTAGTGCTTTGCAGGGCTACGGTGGAAAAATCGCTTGAGGCTAGGAGTTCAAGACCAGCCTGGGTAACATAGTGAGACCCCCACCTCTATCAAAAAATTAAAAAAGTAGCCAGGCATGGTAGCATGTGTCTGTAGTCCTAGCTGCTTGGGAGGCTGAGGTGGTGGGAGGATCGCTTCAGCCTAGAAGTTTGAGGCTGTAGCTATGATCATGCTATTGCATTCCAGCCTAGGCAACAGAGCAAGACCCTGTGTCTTTTTTTTTTTTTTTTTTTTTTTTAAGGTGTGAAAAAAGATCCAAATGGAGTCTGTTCCACATAGTAAATCCCCCATCATGTATCTTTCCCTATTAATTTCCATATTTAATTTATGTTTCAAGACTTTTTGCTGTTACATCCAGCGGTAGGAGCCCATGAACTTGTTGGATATTGGTAACCACAGACAATGTGATAATACTTTTTTCCAACATTTTATTATGAAAAATACACTGGCTAGATTCTATAATTAATATTCTGTCACTTCACCATCTATTCACATAATAATTCTTAAACCTCTCAAATCATTATTTGAATTTCAAAGTGGACTATCAAAGACATTTTCTCTAACCCTATTTTTCTCTAATTTGTAGTTTTGATTTCCAGGAAGCCTTCAGCAATTCATATTATTAGTACAGTAAGAGAGTAAGCAATACACTAAATACCAAGAAAAACTACTTTCCAAAACATGTTTTAGTCGTTTATAAAGATGGTTAGCAAGGGGGCTTCCTGGGACACAGTGCTGGGGAAACGGCAGGCCCTAGGAATGGGCTTTGAAAGAAGACTTCTGTCACTGTCAGATCACATTCCCAAGTGGCCATCGTCGTGCTCTGCCAGGGAACCCTTAGCAGAAAGGCTGCTTTGCCCAGGATCTGGCTTGTCACCCCAGACCACCCCTACCGCTGTCTGGCATTGAATGTCCCTGGTCCAGAGTGAGTGGCCAGTTGCATAGACCTTAGACCAAGGAGCTTAGTCACCTCTTCCCGGCCTAAATCGTGAGCACCCTAAATTCCCATGGGTTGTTGAGACCTAATAGCATCCTGTCTTAGAGATGGGATTGCACCTGGGTCTGCACAGGAAACTGGCCTAGTGTGTGTGCTGCTTGGTGCAGCGTACCACCAGCCACATGGAAAAACCCACAGCCTGCAATAAAAGATTCGCCTTTGGTCACCACTTGACATTAGCTGTGGTTTAATCTGTGTAATGTTTTTCTCCCCCCATCTAAGCCTCAATTTCCTATCCATAAAATATGTTGGTTTTGGCCAGGCATGATGGCTCACGCCTGTAATCCCAACACTTTGGGAGGCCAAGATGGCCTGATCACCTGAGGTCAGGAGTTCAAGTCCAGCCTGGGCAACATGGCAAGACCCCATCTCTACTAAAAATACAAAAAACTAGCTGGGCATCATGGCACATGTCTGTAATCCCTGCTACTTGGGAGGCTGGGGCAGGAGGCAGGAGGCAGGAGAATCGGTTGAACCCGACAGGCAGAGGTTGCAGCAAGCCGAGATCGCGCTACTGCACTCTAGCCTGGGCCATGGAGCAAGACTCTGTCTCAAAAAAAAAAAAAAAAAGTTGGTTTTATTAGATTGCAGAGAATATTTTTTTTTCTCTATCCAAAATCTGTGATTTTAATCTAGAACACTGAATGTAGGTCAGGATCCACCCCATTTTCAGAAATCTGGGAAGATCTTTTTTTATTTCCAGCTTCTTGGAATAAACAATTTCCAGGATGTTACAAACATTGATGAAGCTCACCAGAACAGACCCAGGGTTAACATTTTAAAGTCGTTAGATATGGCTCCAGGAAAAGGCAGGAGAAGGCACCCATGAGACCCTGCAGAGGAGGCCTCACCCTGGGCAGCCTTAGGGCTGACCCCGCTGCCTTACTGAGCGTATTCCCGCCTCTACCCCCAGAGACTCACTCTGTGCGTCCGGTGTCACCTCGATTCTAAATTCCCTGCTTCCTAGTGAATTATGCTATCGTACTTTAGAAGCCTGGCCAATAAATGCTTTGAAATTTAAGGATAGCTATCCTGAAAAAATTTAATATAACCTAAATTGATAGTCTCGTGATGTCAGTATTCAGAAGAGGCGTTCTATTTCAGCAAGTGGTTTTCAGAAAAAAATAAAATAACCTGAGTTTTTCTCCTGCCACACTCCCCTCTTGCTTTTATGCTGCAAAAAGAGCTTGTTGCTTGCCTGATGCACAGTGTTGTTCTCTGCCTCTGAAGATATAGCTCCCTGAGCCTCCCCATGTTGTCCACCTCTCCAATACCATTGCTCCACTGGGAAGCTGGCCCGGAGGTGCCCTACCACGTTCATCTCTCCTAGCCCAGGGCTGTCTTTAACGTTACAGAGACACAGATATCAAAGTGTTGCAATTTATTTGGCTTTCATTAATTTGCCGGAAGCAAGGGAGGGTAGATACAAAGTACTCCTCTAACCTGTTATTTCCCTTGCTGTTAAATGTAAAGAAGACTGATGTAAGAATCTTTGCCTTCCACCAGTCATAACCATGGTATGCACAGAGCTTATGAATCATCTTCTAAATCCACAGCTAGTTTTAAAATTTAGCTTCCAGGCTAGATCTGCAGGAAATGATTGTGAGATCATAAACGCTATGGAGTGAATATGAAGTTACTTACCAGATGCCATAAAGTTAGCTCAGGGAATCCTGAGGAAGGTGTCACTAAGAAAACTGCTTTCAAAGCGGAGTCAGACCTGCATGGCATTTATTATCTCCATTGTGTTACCATGCCAAACATATAAATAGCTTCAAAGTGAGTTCAGATTAAAACACAGAAAAATCTTTGGATATATTCACAGGCAGTAGGGGTCATGTAACAAGTTAGTAATGAAAATAAAAGATATTTGAGGTGCAGCCTCAACTTTTTAAGATGGATCTTGAATAAAAAGGTCTAATGAAATATTCTATGGTATTTTCTCTGGGATTTAAAAAAAAAACAAAGCCAAACAAAAAACAAGGGGGCACTGGAACAATGTTTTAGATAGACCACGGGTGTTTCCCAGTGGGCATTTGTAGTGCACTTACTTAACTGAGAGCCCTCTCATATGAAACTGGAATGTCACCACCATGTGACAAAGCATAGACTAGCCGTGACCTAATATGTACTGACCATGACTAACGCAGAAGTCCAGGTCACTGCGGTTGTATTTCCTGTGGCCTCAGTGTTCTGGGGTTAGGGTTAACAGAGATAATTTATTTCTGTGTTCAAGTCTCTAATTCTTCCATCATGTAGACTATAGGTGGGAGCAGACTGGATTCAGCATTGCTACAATAAAAAACAACAAATAAAACCACCACCAACACCAGGTATTGAGAACTCCATGTGCCAGGCACTGTGCCAAATACTTGATTTGATTATCTCTTTTAATACACAATCCTGTGTGACAGATCCTACCATGAGACCCATTTTACAGATAGACAACTGAGGCTGGGGAAGATGGAAATGGAGGAGCCAGGATTCAAGTCACAGCAGTCTGGCTCCTGTGCCCAGGCTTTTAATTTGTATCCTATTCACTTTTCATAAATGAATGACTCGTGTTGGAGGTGTTTTTATCCTTGGGGCCAGTTTTATTCAGCCAGTTTCCTTTGGTGGTGGTTTTAATGTGTTAGGGAAGAATGCATGTATTCCCCACAGCTGGGCACCTTTGTGCTGGATCACCTGGCTACAGCTCATGCATAGTGCAGATTACCACATCCCGCCCCCATGACTCAAGCAATTGTGCTGTGGGTATAGTAGGGTATGTTCAAAAAAGGCAATTCACAAAGCAGCTGTCCCAACTACCAAGAAAAACAAATGTGGCATAGCCCATGATAGAACCCCCTTTTTTCGTTATTAGACATGAACAGAAGCTCATTAATGCCATCCAGTAAGTTCAAGCCCTATAACTTAAGTACACCGTCAGGACCCAGAAAGAAACCTGTTGTCTTGTGATGTTATTGTTGCTTGGTTGACCTCATCATGTCTTGACAGGGCTCAAGACACCCTTCATGATCTGGTCTTACCTCTCAGGACTCCCCCCATCCTTACCATTGTTTGTTGATCTCTGGTGCAGCCAAATGAAGCCCGTCATGCTTGCCCTCTGCCTGGAAGTTCTTCCTTCCCTTTTCCTGGCCAATGGCTACTGTCCCTTCAGAGCACTGTTCAGATGAAACCTCCTCCAGGCAGCCTGTGCTGACTCCTAAGGGCTGGGCTAGGTGCCCCTTGGGTGCTTCCACAGTCCCCTCTGCTTACCCAGTTGTATATGTGTCATACTATGTTCTGTAATTCCTAGTTTTTGTCCATCTTCGCTGGCTTACACTGACCCCTTAAAAGCCATGACTGGGGCTGGGCACGGTGGCTCACGCCTGTAATCCCAGCACTTTGGGAGGCCGAGGCAGGTGGATCACAAGGTCAGGAGATCGAGACCATCCTGGCTAACATGGTGAAACCCCGTCTACTAAAAATACTAAAATTAGCTGGGTGTGGTGGCACGCACCTGTGGTCCCAGCTACTCAGGAAGCTGGGGCAGGAGAACTGCTTGAACCCAGGAGGCAGAGGTTGCAGTAAGCAGAGATTACGCCACTACACTCCAACCTGGGTAACAGAGTGAGACTCCATCTCAAAACAAAAAACAAAAAAACACAAAAAACATGATGCCATGATTGGGTAGCGTTTACTTTTGGATAAATACCTGGACACATGACAGACAATAAATGTTTGAGAGAGAGAAATGACCTACTGGGTAACACCAAAAACTAATGTATACTATGTCTAGTGTTCACAGTTGACAAGATGCTTTCACATACATGACCTCATTTAATCCTCCTGGCAACTCTGGGAAATAGATTTCTGCATCCCTGTTGTACTAACCAGGAAACATCAGCCTGCCCTGATGGCAGGGATGTGGTTAGCAGGTGGAAAGCCAGGACTCAGGCTCAGGTCTTGAAACTCAGATCTTATGCCCCATGTACCACCATGTGGATATTCTCGAGGCGTCTCTCTGAAATATTTCCAGAATCTTTCACAAAAGTCCTGTGTCGTCCTTGTCCTGGCCAACTAGACTCAGAGGGAGGATTGATGGATTTTCATCTTCCTCTTCCCCTTCGTCTTTTCTTCTTAGCATCTTCCTACCGTCCCCACCACTGCGCTTTTCCACCAAAAGCCTGATGCTGGCATGTAATGGACCCTTTCCAAGTTTCAAGGTGTTGACAGTAAATCTTTTGTATTTAGACCAGGCCGGCTGCTTTCCTTCTTTTCTTGTGGGTAGAACTCTGGAAAAGTGGAGGGGGGGTGGGTGGGGCTTCAGGTAAAGTGCGTCAGCAAATCAGGTAAGTCAGATCGTCGTTGTGTTAGTGGGTAAGAGATGAACTGGGGGAGGGGTGTGTGTTTGGGCAGTGAGCAAGCCAGCAAGAGAATGTGAGTGGGCGGCCAGTTGGTTGGCAAGTGAGAGGCTGTGGAGAGGTTGCTGCTGGGACGGGCTGTGCAATTAAACAGTTGAGCAGATCTTAATAGCAGACTGGGGCGGTGCTCTCTGCAGGCCTGCGGGGAGCAGGGGAAGCAAGCGAGCTGGAAGCGTCTTTGGGCACAGAGCAAGATACGAATTTCATAAGCACATAACCTGAGGAATAGAATGCAACCAGAGGAGGGAGAAATAGAGATTCCAGGCAGCGTTTCCTAAACTTAAAAAATTCTGAATACCCAGTTTTGCTTTGTTCTGGGGACCTCTGGCAATGCTGCTGAAGGGAGGAATTTGCAATTTCATAGAAAAGTGAATTTTATCACCACAGTGGAACATGAGACCAAGGTCATAAATCCCTTTGTTTGGAGTGTCCATTCTGAACTCCTTTTATACTTTTATTTGCAGGAAGAGGCTATACCAGCAAGTATTATGGTTTTACTGGGTGGGGTGGCAAGGCCAGGAAGAGATGGGAGATGCTGTTAAAGGTCCTTTCTCCAAAACATTCAGAGATCAGAGGAACTCAAGAGGTCAAAGTAGGCTGACGTCATTGTTCGTCCATTTATTCAGTAAACCTTTCTTGAGCACCTACTGCGTGCCATGCGCTGGTTGGCAGTGAGGTGAAGATGATAGTGATGAAAACACAAGCATGGTCTCTGTCATCGTGGAACCTAAGTAAACACACACCAAAAAAAAAGGCCCAAGAAAAATCATGGCCTGAGGGGAAGGCACTGAGATGACAAGGACCTCCTTCCCAGTGGTTCCCTGAGGAGGTGATTTCCAAGGTCCCAGCACAGGGATGAGCAGGAATGTGTGGGTCAGGGGGTAG